TACGAGCGACCATCTGTGAATAAGAGGAAAAGTCAAAAATCCTCTGAAGGCAAGGATGGCTTTAAATTAGCCGCCTCTGGAGGTAAAGGTTCCCCAGGAACTGGTACATCTAGGGAAACCTCCGACTCGCCGTCTTCCTCCCCGTCCGAAGAGTCTTCCTGCGGTTGCTCATCCTCTGACTGGTTGGGTAAGGGTGGAGGATGGGGGGGGGTTCGGTGTTACATACAGCACTGATGTTACCTGTCTGTCATGGGTTTGGAGGGAAAGTTCCATCCTATGGGGAGTGGAAGGCGGGACATCAGGAGGAGGGGCTGTACTGTATATATATGTGGAGCTTGTGTGGAGAGGAGAAGAAGCTTGAGATAAGATAGTGGTCGCGTTAGCAGGATGTTCCCAGAATTCTTTTATAAGATCCATCAATTCTGGGATGAAAGAGAGGCTGACTGGATGTGATCTCTCCGCCTCAATGTCTCCAAAAATCAAGTTTTCCTCCTTTCGTGGAGATTGCTCTATAGCTAGCTTAAGTGCCTGTGCCATACGAGCGACCATCTGTGAATAAGAGGAAAAGTCCTCTGAAGGCAAGGATGGCTTTAAATTAGCCGCCTCTGGAGGTAAAGGTTCCCCAGGAACTGGTACATCTAGGGAAACCTCCGACTCGCCGTCCTCCTCCCCGTCCGAAGAGTCTTCCTGCGGTTGCTCATCCTCTGACTGGTTGGGTAAGGGTGGAGGATGGGGGGGTTGGTACCGAGGGAGTCTTCTTTGGTTATATCCCAGTAGGTCTGGGGTTGTCACATTCGGTACCGAGGGAGTCTTCTTTGGTTGTGTTGTATGCGCCTCGTCCGGTTGCCGAGGAGGTATAGGCGGCAAAGTAGGAGCACCCCTCGGCGCCGTGGACTTATCCGAGCCCGTGTCCAAAGGTCTTTTAGGAGGCGGGCTTCGGCGCGGAGAACGAGAGCGAGAAGATGACGAATAGGAGTACTTAGATCTTTTCCTCCTATGCCTCCTCTCCCTCGACGTCGAAGAGGACTCCGTGGAAGAATCCCTCCTTCGCCATCTCCGGTGGGACCTCTTCCGTTCTCGACTGTAGTCTGATTCAGACGATGAGGAGTCTCTTCGGCGTTGGTGTCCACGTCGATGTTTCCTGCGGAACGAGAGCGAGAAGATGACGAATAGGAGTACTTAGATCTTTTCCTCCTATGCCTCCTCTCCCTCGACGTCGAAGAGGACTCCGTGGAAGAATCCCTCCTTCGCCATCTCCGGTGGGACCTCTTCCGTTCTCGACTGTAGTCTGATTCAGACGGTGAGGAGTCTCTTCGGCGTCGGTGTCCACGTCGATGTTTCCTGCAGTGATGACGCTTCTTAGCCAGAGGCTCATCCTCGGCCGAATCAGAAGCTGGACGTCGAGGGGTGAAGTCATCGACGGGCTTCACAGGTCGGCCCCATGGTGGCGGCGGAGACCTGGAAGGACCCGACTCCGAATGGATCGATGGAGATCGGGTTGTTCGCCCGGTGGGTATCGGGCTCAATGGTATATTCCCGGCGCCGGCAACGACTTTGTCGAGCTGGCTAACCGTCGGCGACCTTCCCAAATCCACCGGTGGATCCTGACAAGGTGGAATGGGGGTGCCTACATCGGAGACCGAGTCCCGGTCCTGAGATGAATCTTCCAAGAAAGGAGAAGGCACTGACGTTGAGATGGGCAGGACGACCAGTGTAATCTCCTTGGACTTCGCTTTAGTCTTCGAAGAGGTAGCCGGGGCCGATTTTTGCTTCGGTCCTGATGTTGAGGGAGCCGACACCTCCGACGATGACTTCTTCCCAGCAGATTGTTTCTTTGATTTTCCCTTTGAAGTTTTCTTAGGAGCCTCCTTGGTTGATGATGGAGGGAAAGAAGAAACCACTGTGACTTCTGAGCGGACAGTGGAGATCGACTGAACAGATTCCATGTCTGATGGTTAGGAGGCAGACAAAGTTTTATTCCAAAGAAAATACTTAAGACGCTGCTGGCGGGCTTTCAGAGTCGCCTTTGTAAATTCTTTGCAGTGTCTGCAATGGGTGGGTGAATGGGCCTCACCCAAACAAAAAAGGCAGAGTGAGTGGTGGTCCTGAAAAGGAAGTTTCCTCGAACAGGTAGAACAGTGGCTAAAGGGTCCTTTTTTAGCTGACATAAGCGAGCGGTAGGGAAAAATCAGTAATTGAAAGAGTCCGTGAGGCGCGTGGCGCTTCAGCAGGGGGTAATAGGCCGCAATCAGTATAAAAGCGAGAAGCGAAAGTACTTGCTAATAACCGACTGAGGCAAAGAGAGGTCAACCGGTCCGAGTTCAGGGCAAGGGAGTGTAGATAGACGATAAACGAAGCCAAGTCAAGCCGAAAAAAATCGAAAAAAAATCGAAAAAAATCAGGAGCTCTATCCGAGAGGTTCCAACTCCGTGGGCGGATAAATGGAACTAGGTTTGGTGGGCTGAGCGTGCGCAGTATAGGGCAACCTAAAACTTTGTATCTTTTCCCATAGCTCTGGAAAATTCTGAGAGGAACCAGCGCAGGCACTGTTTAACCCACCAGTGTGTATTCATAGAGAACCACGTTGAAGAAGTCCTGTTTACCCTTTCCTAAGAGTCTGAGATAAAGTTTGTTACCTTCCTACTTCACTTTTGTCTCCATGCCTTCAATTATTCCAACAAGAATTAGAGCAGACAGTATCTTGTCTCCTCCCTTGGCAGATAAAAATGCTTATTCCATCTGTGGACACTCTTTTCTTAATGGATGAGGACAAGGTAAAGGAGGATGTGTAAGATCGCTCATTAAAAGTAAGTGATTCCTCCATTTGAGCAGCCCTTGGGCTGTGGCAAAATACATAGTTATAGCTTGCTCAGAGTTTGGTGGGTGAGCTGTCTCCATTGGGGTGAATGACTAAATGTCTGTGATGATTCCCAATCCTGAGACATCTCTTCTTCTGATACTGAGCTCAGGCAAACTTGGTCATCATGCATCTCATCACACTCATCTGAGGCTTCAAACTTGGGCAAATGACAGCAAGGTTAAGAAGTCAAGGTCCTGTCCTCCATATCAAAGTGTGAAGTCAGAGATTGCCAGTTAGGGGATATCTGAGTAGCCTTTTCCCTGATGGTTTTAGTGAAGGTTGAGTTGGTCTGAGAGAGCCTCCAATAACAAGTTTCTTCAATGGCATTTTGCAGACCAAGACCGTAGCAACTTGAGTCTCCTTCGTGATACTGTTGACTTCCTTTAGGGACTTTTCTTGAAGAAAAAATGTCAGGTGAGACTGGTGGTTCCTGATAGCTACCTTCATAAACTTACGTCAGAACTGACAGTTCGGTTTTTAATGGTCTCAATACAGGTACTAAGTACTCATTAGCAAGAGGATTTTATTGCTGCAGCTGGTGTACTTTTTGAACAAGCCATGGGACCATAAAGAGGCAGGAACAGCTGTTAACTGACAGATGACAACTGGATAACAATGAATAACTAGCAGAATGACAGGATCAAAGAAGAAGGGCAGAAGGCAGTCAAGGACAGGTAAGAGATGACCATATGCAGTTTTGAAGAATAACTGAAAAATGGTGGGCTCCAAGAAAACTCCTGAGAAGTGCTCTCAGCAGTGGCAAAAAGTGAATTGAAACTAGGTAAAAAGAAGGGAGCATGTGTGGTGGAGAGGGTGTGTCCAAACACTGGATCTTTGTAATTCTGACTTTTGGAAGGAATGCCCAGCCCAAGGAGGCATCCAGCACTGCCCTGATATACGAGACCCTCTGAGTAGGGCATAAAGCGGACTTTTCTTGGTTCACCTGGAGCCCAAGAGCAGATAAAAGGGACAAAGTAAATGAAATATCCTGAAGTAACTGGACATGTGAAAGCACCACCAGCAACCAATCATCTAGGTACAGGAATACTGTCAGACCGTGCAAGGAAAGATGCACCGCCACCGGGTTTTAGCCATGCCCAGGTTGAATTACTACTATTATTACTGCTGCTGTTGCCACTGCTGCTACTGTGGCACAAACCCACAATTTCTCCCTATCCTCCCAGAGCTCTGTGCCCTCCCAAAATTTACTCCAGAGCTGTTTTGGAGGGGAGGAAGGGAAAGTCCCACTTAGGGCTGTAAATCTTTCCTCCCCTTCTTCTTACATGTAGCAGGGCGTGGGGGCTGGAAGAGAGGTCTGTCATGCAAGAACAAGGAACCATGATTTCCTTCCCTTGCCTTTTGCCTGTGAGAGACAGGAAGGAAGATTCTTTTGGTCCCATTGAAAGGTTTTGTATTTGCCATATTGAGATTTATGCAAATTGTGAATAATGAATAGTCTCTTATGCATAGCTACCTTACAAGAGCTTCAGTTTTGGTGTCTGAACGTTTTGGACCCAGAAGCATCAAGTAGGCTTTTGCATCCTTTTGAGCAAGCAACCAATCCTTCTGTGTTTGCTGCCTGTATATATTTTGCTTCACAAAGGGAGAAGACATTCATTTTTGCACAGAGACATTTTATGCAAGTTGAAGAAACAGTGACCACAACCCAAGCCACTCCTGTCATTCTTGCACTGAACATAACACAATTTTGTACATACTTTTCCAAATTTATGTATTTCTGTGCACGTATTTCAAATTTTTAAAAATGCTGCATGGAAACTTCCACTACATATTTTTCTATGTATTTTCTGATGTGTGAAGTGTATTGCAAACTTCAGAAAATATGTCTATTGTAACACATGTGCGTTCTAATTCATGTGTAGGATGAGAAATTTGCACAGCTTGCACTCAGAGGAAAACCCAATTGATTTCGCAAGGTGAAAACTTACAATTCAGCTGAAATGTGTTCTTCTCTTTTTCCAAATTTTAGATTTCATAATCCTTGGGCCAGGGGCCTGTTCTTATATGAAGCTTCAAGTTCTTCTATGTTGATACAACAGTTAATCAACCAGTTTAAAAAGTCCACCGAACACCATACTAAAACATTACTAAAATGTAAACTTAATAATTAACTCAAGAGCCCAGTAAGAAATCAGTCCTTTATTCCAAACAATCTGAAGAATGAAAGAGGTGATCAAAAGATACAGGAAGCTAGAACTTTAGGGGGGAAAAAAGATAACTTCCCAACAATAGATTAAAAACCCACATGATGTAACTCATTGCAGATTATGCTTCCACCATCAGGTCTGGCAGCCCAAAATGTTCAGTATGTTGGAAAACTGGATGAGATCATTACACAAGTTCTCGAATTCTTCCTCTTGGCATTCATCATCATCTGGCCATCTCTCGATCCAGGTATCCTTGCTGATCAAGTAGTTGACACTGGAAAACAGAGAGGAGGGAGATTTGTATCTTTATTGTACGGGCAAACTGATTACACAGATGTTGTGGAAGCACCTAGCATGACTGGAACAAATTGACAATAACCATGTTTCATAGATTTCATATGTCAGCAATCCTCTGGTCATTTCGTTCTGGCCATGCCTGCTCCCAAGTGTCCTATTTCACTTTCTCCACACAGTGAAAGCCTTTTTATCTACTGTTTTATCTGCTGGCTGGACAGAGATTTCCCCTGAGCTATAGAAAAAAATGTACATTTTAAAGGACTGCATATTTCATTTGAAAGGTTCAGGGTTAAGGTCTTCCCCAAAACATGGTAGAAGTAAACTTCTTTGAAATATAAAGCCATGCTTTGCAATCCTGTGCAGGTTTAATCATCAGTAAGACCCATTGGGTTCAATAGGGCTGAATCCCGAGTAAAAAATTATTAAGAAACTATTACATACTATGGATTTACAAGATGGCAAAGAGTCAAAACCATAATACTGTATACTTACTGTATACCTTCAAAATACTGGGACAATTGCGTTAACTGTTAGTCAAATCACTTTTTTTTGGCATCCTTAATTTGGAGGCTAAAGTTGAGGAATGGTCGCTTTCAAAGAGCCTAGCTGAGAAGGATGAACTAGTTTTAAAATGGAGCTTTAATGCAGAATACCTCACTAGGCAGCCAGGAATCCTGCAAGTACATTAGTTTTATGTCGCTTGTTTCCTTGGCTGATGGTTGTGGTTTTCAGAGCTGGAGTGCAACTTTTCATACCATTTTGGCACACATTGTTAGGCACTCTAGGGAACCAATCAAGGAAAAGCAATCTATCCACCCAATAAGTCAATGAAATGAAATACATACGTATCCTTCGTTGGCCACATATCAGCACTGAGACCCCAGATCAGATAGTCCTTGTTCTCCTGCAGGTGGAGGGATTCTCTGCACTTCATAGGACTGATAAACATGCGGGGACTGGCTGCTGGATTTCGGTCAGTCCCTAAAGGAATCAGACAAAACATTATGAAATGTTTGCTTTCGGCCATATAATGGGCTGAATAAAGGAACCATTATAATAGGCTGATCTGTTTACTAGCAGGTAAAAGGGAATATGGGGGAAAATCAGTGGGAAGAAAACAGAAGGGGAGACTTGTATAGATGTGATTTTTCCTTTACTCCCTATAGATTTATTTAGTTTAAATAATCAAGTTACTGTTTGTCCACACTCGTTATATTTGCTGGAAATACACAGCCTTCTCTCCTCTTCAAGTTTTAAAGAGAAGCCAGCTGGTTATTTTTGTCTTTTTCCACTTCTCAGAATGGCATTTTTTAAAATTGCATACATTGTTCTTAGCTTTCATGTTGCCTTTTAATCATGTAAGATGCCTCTTTACTCATTGTAAATTGCCTACCTACAGCTGAATTGGGCAGGTTCTTGACCAGGCCTTTTTTAAAAGTGATGCAATGCATCTGCACTGCCCTAATACAGTAAAACAAAACAAAACAAACACCTTCCCCAGCCTCCACAGAGCCAAGGAAATGTTTAATTTGCCAGTATTCTAAAGAAACTCTCTTCTTAAACCCCTTTATAA